ACGTAATTTAAATTAATAAATTTATTAATAATTTATCTTTTTTTTTGTTTTCTTCCCTTCTAGAAATTGTTCCTCGAAATATTCAAGAAGAAATGCAAACTATTTATATATCATTAAGTGAACTTCTTCGTCATTTCCACCGAGTTTACCTTTAATTGAAGAAAAAGTTTATTTCATTTGAATAGATTTTTTTTTTGTTTCTAAACTAATTTTTTTTGAAAATTAGATTCATCGTGTTCATGATACAATTGAACGTTTTCGAAAAACACAAGTTAATGCTTTTAAAGAAAAAGTATCAACTGATCTTTTAACAGATTTTCATGTAAATATTTATATTTGATATGTAATAGAATAGAAATAATATATCTATTATATATTTTAGTTTGCAGGTCATATGGAAGATCTTATTTGATACAGCTAATGCAAAATATCATCAATGGATTAACCCTTTGAGGACGGAATTATTTTTCAATTGAAAAATGGTACTTTCGTCAATTTATTGTATGTGGCTCAAAATGATTACATAAAAGTCTTATGATAATATATCAAGATAAGAAAGAAAGTGATCATGGCGTCAGTGTATAGAGCAGAAAGAAAAGAGAAGATCTGCGAAGCATCTATATGACAGGAAGAAAGAGAGGAAAGATTTGGATGCGATGGTAGCTGAAACGACCTATTATCTTACAGATGATAATAGTTTTATGAGAAACAAACATTTTCCTTACTGAAAAATAGGTGGACCATTTTTGGTTCACCCGTCCTCACAAGTAACGTTCATCGTCAAGCGATTCACTTAGCCCTAGACTGATAGAATACATGTACGGATGTAATAGCATAAAAAGCTACATTAAAAAAGTAATACGCAAAATTGATAATATAACCAGTATATCTTAGGCGAGCAGAAAAATTAATTCGGAGAATTCTCACTCTAAGTAAAGATAATGCATTTTACAAATTTAATTTTTTTTGTCGTTTTTGTTTTATTTTTTTTTGCTTTTATAAATATAAATAGCGCTCAATAAGATTAGACAAGAATACGATTTTTTTTGTAATTATATTGGCGCTATTTGTACGTACAAAAATATGAATTATATTATTCATAAAATTTGAGTTTTATTAATCAATATTTTAT